AGTTGTTAACTGCCATGTGGGTGCTGGGATTCGAACCTGGGTCTTCTGCAAGAACAACCAGTGTTCTTAACTGCTGAGCCATCTCTCCAGCCCCCCAAAGACTTGTTTTAAAAAAATATTTTATTATTTTTAATTTTTGTGTATGAATGTATTGCCTACATGTATGTAAATGCACCTGCAGAGGTCAGAAGACTGTGTCAGATTCCCCTGGAACTGGAATTATGGACAGTTGCTAGGCTCCATTTGAGTGCTGGGAATTGAACCCAGGTCCTCTGCAAGAGCAGTTAGTGCTCTTAACTGCTGAGCCGTCTCTCCAGCCCAGAAATCAAAGTCTTATGCTAAGGTTTTTGTTTTGTTTTTGATACAGGGCTTAACTATGTAACCCCCAAATTTTGTGATTACAGTCATGTGCCACCATGTTAAGGTGGGTATGCTAAATTATAGCTTAGCTCATATACTCACATCAAGTATCTCAAGGATAATTTAAAACTCTCAGTACAAACAAAAATCCAACTTAATATGTACAAGCTATAAAAAGTACTATATTAAGTCTTGTGGGGTAGGAAGCCATCAAAAAAGTTCAAGTTTTGTGGGCTTTTGTTTTACATGTGTATTTACATAGCGGGAGAAAACAGGCTTTCCAGGTAATCATGAAGATACTATTATATAGGCCCCCCCCCAAAAAAGCAGTATTTCTGTATAATTTAGGCTTTTCACATTTTTTGGGGGGGGGGGCTTTTTGAGACAGGGTCTCCCTGTAGCCCCAGCTGTCCAGGAACTCACTATGTAGACCAGGCTGGCCTTGACCTCATAGAGATCCTCCTGTGGTGCCTCCCAAGTGCTGGGATTGAAGGCATGCAACTTTGTGCTATATATGAAAGTTCTAAAAATCAGGAGAAAGTTAAAATGCTTTCAGCTTCCACACCTATTAAGGTTGAAGCTTTGAGCTGATGTCATACTACTCTTGGCACACAGTAGGGGGCTCTCATGGTGTGGGCAGAGTGCTGTGCCTCCACCAAAAGCTGTCTGGAGGAGGGGACCTCACCTCTTGAGCCCATGTTCAAAGCTATCCTTAATTGTGAGCACCTTGAGTTGAAGTGTCATAGGAGACAGAAATCTGAGCTGCACCATGCCTTCAAATTAGAACTCATGTTGATGCTTAGGAAAATGCTTTTGTGTAAAATTAGACCCAGATCTTTGAGAATAGGTCAGACCTGTAGTTATTTAAATTCAGTTTAAAATGTCACTATTTGAAAGATTTTTTTCAGAAACATAAACCCTACTTTTCTTTGAGCCAATGACATGTTTATAATTAGTCATGCTACATTTAAATACAAGTAAGGTTTTATTGAGACTGTGGCTTTGATACTTATTAGCTGTGTGACCTCAAGCAAACTTTCAACTTCTCTTGCCTCGGTTTCTTCGTTTTCAAAGTGACGAAGATTGTGGCAGGAATTTTCGAGTTAATAACTACATCATAAATGTTAACTGTCAATACTGGTTAGCATTCACTTACTATGTGATTCACAGTTTTGCAGAAACTCTATTAGAACAAAATTAATAAAATCGAATATAACACATTTCTTTCACCAAATCTAAAATGACATTGTTTAGAAGAAAAAGGTAAAATGATTTGTGGTAGTACACACCCATAATCCCAGCACTTGGGAGCCTGGGACAGGAAGATTATGATTTTGAGGCCAGGCTGGGATACATAATGAGGCTCTGTGTCTAAAAAATGGAAAAATAGAAAGTAAGATGCATAAGACCTAAAATTATACTAACTTGGCTCAGATCTCCCTACCCCAACCATGAACTTGAACTAATTCTTTCCATTTTCTTCTGCCATACTAAATTCATGCAAAAGGAAAGCTTGTTTACATCAGAATTTAACTTGCTCATCATGACATTGTAACTGGCCTTTTGAAGATATACTTTCAAAATAGGCATAAGACTAACAAGGCAGTGTGGCTCCTCTAGAAGTTTCAGAGAAACAGTAGCAAAAATTCCCTCCTTCAGCACAAGCTGATCACCCATATCTATGGATTCTGCATCTGTGGATTCAACCAACTGTGCACTTGGGAGGCAGAGGCAGGCGGATCTCTGTGAGTTCAAGGCCAGTCTGGTCTACATAGTGAGTTCCAGGCCAGTTGGGGCTACAGGGAGACCCTGTCTCAAAAAGACCCCCTTAAAAAAATAAATTAAAAAAAATTAAATTAAAATTTAAAAATGTGTTTGTAAGCTGGGCATGGTGGTGCATGCCTTTAATTTTAGCATTCAGGAGGCAGAGGCAGGTGGATCTCTGTGAGATCAAGTCCAGTTTAGTCTACACAGCAAGTTCCGGGTCGTCTGGGGCTACAGGAGACCCTGTCTCAAAAACAAAACAACAAAACAAAAACAAACAACAAGAACAATAAATGTGTTTGTAGGGCCTAGTGAGATAGATCAGCGGGTAAAGGCTCTTATTGCTAAGCCTGATGGCATGAGCTTGATCCCCAGAGCCCAGAGTACAGAGAAGTGACTCCTGAAAGTTGTCCTCTTCTGCATGCATGCCCACACACATACATACAAATAAATGTTTATGAAGTGTTTGTATTGAACATGTACATTTTCTTGTGATTATTCCCTAAACAAAACAATATTTTTTTTAAAAAATAGCAGTATTTTGTTAGCAGTTACATTGTACAAGGTATTGTAAGTAATCTTTATTTATTTTTGTTTATGTATGTAAGTGTTTTGCCTGTATGTATTTAAGTGCACCCATATGTGCAATGCCTGAGGACACCAGAGAAGGATGTCAGATCCACTGGAACTGAAGTTATGGATGGCTGTTAGTCACCATGTGGGTGTTAACTGAACCTGGAGCCTCTGTAAGAACAGTTAGTACTCTTAACCACTTGAGCCATCTCTCCAGCCCCTGTAAGTAATCTTGAGATCTGTAAATATGGGAGGATGTGGATGTAGGCTATATGCAAATACGATTATCACTTCCTCAAGGTACTTCAACATATGCAGAGTTTGATATCTGCAGGGTGTTCTGGAACCAATCCTCCACAGACACAGGGACAACTGTACAAGGGATGCTATCATTGGTCCACATGTGCATTGTGTTGCTACCCTGTAGGGTCATTGGTATGACCCAAATGTGCTTGGGCATATCTAAATTTCTCCCAAGGTCCTCTATGTTCGTTGGTCCTGTGCAGAGGTAGAACTGAGCAAGAAGCTGCCCAGGCACTTCACATTTCTGCTGGGTGAAATCTGGTAGAGAAGAGAACATGTCAGATTAGTGGCTCCCATTTGACCACACTCAGCTTTCCCATGAGAGGGAGAGAGAGTTGGCCAAGGAAGGTTGCTGAGCTGTATTTAGGAGCCATTTAGCGGGTTAAGTCCAAGTCACACAGTCACTGTGCTATTGTTAAAACACCTAGTGATCCCCCACAGGCTCAGGGGATGAGAGTGTTACTTTCAGTTCCAATCTTAGTGTCAGGATTTAATATCATACAGGGATAGGTAGGTGCTCTTTGCCTTTGTTGCTTGTCTTAGCTAAGCAAAGCTAGGTCCCTGAGAAACCTGACCACCTCCTTCTATGCTATGATGGGTCAGAGCAGATCTTAACTTCTGGAATTTTCATTTGTGGGACCTTTCCTGGTGAAATATTACTTCACTGTCGATATTCTTGAGGTCAGAAAATCATACCTTGACTGGCAATACAAACATTTAGGGCAGCTTGTTTCAGTCCATCATTTCCTAGAACTAGATGGCTAGTAGGCATCTAGTTCTTCTACACAAGAAGTAAATGCCTACTTTCTCATCCATAGACCTAAATTACAAAGAAACACCATACCAACTGCTGGAGAAACAAATGGTCTGTGGTCTACTCATCAAAATAGCAAATAACAGAATACTAAAACCTTATTAAATTAAAAAGTGATATTTCATGGTGGCACACGCCTTTAATCCCAGCACTCGGGAGGCAGAGGCAGGCATATCTCTGTGAGTTCGAGGCCAGCCTGGTCTCCATTGTGAATCCAGGACAGCTGGGGCTACAGGGAGACCCTGTCTCAAAAAGACCAAAAGTATTTACTTATCAAACCTTAAACACTGAAATGCATTCATTTTTATCTTATGCTACTTTGCAACATCCTTTCTTTCCCTTTGCCCCTCCCTCATTCTGAACTATTTTGATGGATTCATTTCTAAACTGAAGACTTTTTAACCTTTCTTCATGCTACTTAACTCTTTATTGTCTCAATATCACATCCAATCTAGATTTTTCTCCTACATGTGAACTGGATGTTAATAATGGAGATGCTGTCAGCACACGTTCAAGATGACATGAAATTTGGACCCTAAAAAGTGTTTCAAGGCAATGACCTGCTGTTAGTTTTCAGAATCTAGGAATCACTGTCAGTACTAAAAAGAAGTACTCAGTTTCAGAAGCATACTCTTACACTGGGTATTAGGCATAATGTCTAATAGAGTTTATTTCCACGTGTGTTCAGATATGCAGTCTTCTGCTTTCCTGGGGGTTCACTTTGACTGCCTCAGATTTAATTCTTGAATGTCAATGACACAATTTTTAACAAAAGAAATCAAGGGTAGACTAGAAGACAGAACTGTTTCTGAAAGAGCAATGACAGCAGGAAGGTTCTGGCATTTTCAAAGGGTACACAGACACCATAAGGACTATAGGCAAGTGAAGATACACAACTTTGTACATATTAGAAACATCCAATGTGCCACCAATAATACAATTCCCCTAAAAAACGAAAAAGTCATAGCATCTGGAGCCACACTCATCTGTCTTTATGTCACTGTACATGTACATTGCCAACCATGCATCTTTCCCACGTCCCACCACCCATTAAGACGTTTTCTGCCAGAATTTTGGCAATATGCTTTTCTTCAAATAAAACAAGCCTCACAAAAGTACTATCACTAAAGTCCATCAGTTGAATTGCGCCAAACCTTTCTGAAATATGTGTAATCTTTAAAAGACTCTTCCTTTTTCCTTCATGAGTCAGCAGGGCTCCGTCTTCAAATAAATCACCACCGGTCACACCCTTAGTTCATAAGCTCATATGTTCTCTTCATCCAACATTTTGTTGATACCATCACAAAGTTTTTGTAAGTGAGGCTTAAATTTCCCAAAGGGATTATACAAGGCAGCCAAAAAATCACAATCTGAAAAATGATCAAAGACGTTATTAACCCGTCCATGAGACTTGGCGGTGAGGTGGCGCTGGATGATGCCATGCAGCAGTTCTCTGCACTCGTTCAGGAGCCTAGACAGCACGTTCCGGTCAAAGGTGTAATCCACCTGGTGGAAACTGACCACTGTCATGGCAAGCTGGTGAACTTTCTTCTTGAACTTCTCCATCAGTGCCAGCTCGTCTTGATTGAACTGGTTGTTCCTGTACAGAATGGCCAGCTTGATGACTGTCTTGATGAGGTTCTTGATGATCTTCTCAGCCTCCTTCTTGTTCTGGGTGTACTCCCTGGTCACTCTGTAGAGCTCATCCAGCACCTCACTGCTGGTGTCGTCAATCAGGGTGGTGGCGATGGATTTGGACACCATTTTACCCAGGATCTTCTTTTGTGCCTGAACGGCCAGGTTTTTGGAATTAAAGACATCTGTGGCCACTAAAAATAAAATTAAAAAGGAGAGGGAGAAAGAATAAATGATCAGTAAACATGAAGTCAGATTTAAAAAACAAATATTAAGATGTAGTTTCCTTAATTTTCCCACTACTTACAGTTTACCCCCACCCCCACATACTGGTATGTCTCTTTCAGAAAAAAAGTTTTTAATGTTCTGTGCATTTTTGAACATCAGGTACTCTTATTCCACAGGAAATAATTCAAATATTTTATATTTCCTGCTACACAGTCAAAGCTTTCTTTAGAAATTAAAGTTGGTAACTTTCTTAAAAATAACTTTTGATTAAAAATACTATGTCTTGGGGGCTGGAGAGATGGCTTAGTGGTAAAGAGCACTCGCTACCCTTTCAGAGAACCTGAGTCTGGTTCCTAACACCCATGTTGGGTAGCTCACACCTGCCTGTAATTCCAGCTCCAAATAATCTGGCACCTTCTTCTGGCCTCTATGGGCACCCACACACATAACATACATTCGCACAGACATGAACACATACACATAAGTAAAAATAAAATCTTAAATATTATACCTCATGAGATAGTAACTTTGTATGAAATATTTATCTAGCTTAATTTTATAAACAAACCATCAAAATGAGTTCCAGGACAGCTAGGGCTACAGGGAGACCCAAAAATACAACAAACAAAAATTGAAGTCAACTCTGTACTTTATCTGCTAGGCAACAGCATCCTAGAACAATGTAAAGAAACTCATTTAAATGAAAGGAGGATAAATGGCAAGGTCATAATATTAAATAAAATGGCAAACTTATACCAGCAAATCCAAAGGAGAGTCTTGGTCTATAAACAAAGTGCAGAAAGTCAAACTTCCTAAGTCACTGGTCCTTACTTGCTTGGCCCTCCCACCTGCTTTGAATTTCATTCCCAGAAGTCATCTTCTGGTAAGGTTATACTCCCCCGAGAGCTCTTTGTCAGCAGCTGTTCGTGGTTCTTTTGAAGTTCTTACACACTTTGAGGAAATAAACTTTATTTCATGAGCTAATGAAACATGCTACATGAAAAATATATCTTGAAAAGGCTGATCCTTACTTTTAGAATAATCATAACTTAACTTGGCAGGTGTTTAAGATACATATAAGAAAAGTTGCATGGATTTCAGATTGATGATGATGAGATGGAATGCTTTTAGCTTAGCTCCCATCAATGAAAATGCTCAACAAACTAACACTAGTTTTACTCTACCACGATTTCTCCCACTCTGTGTTGGCTGCGATCTGAAATCTCCACAACTGATTTTCTCCTTCTAACCAAGGGTCTCAGGACTGAAATTCTCAGGATATCCACTCTACCATGGGGTCTAGATGCTACTGTTCACTCTGTACATGCCAGCATCTACGTTTGGGCCAGTTGGAATGAAATCGTTTAGTAACGAAAGGTAAAAAGCTTAGGACATCAGTGATATAAAATGATTTCTAGTTTAGACAAGCTAGCATCATTTAGGAGCAAAAAGACAGTGCTTCTAAATCCAGGCTAGAAGAATATTTAAGAGGAGTGACTGCCTTGGTGTCGAAGTCTCATGCTAGAAGTAAAACTGGGACAAGGAGAAGCCACATTACATGTGAAATCTGGATTCACAGTTAAGTATAGAGTTGTGTTGAAGGTGCTACAAGATGGCTCCCGATAAGCAGACCGCCATCCACGAGCATACAATGCAGCTACTGAAAGGGTGTCCTGATAGAATCAGAAATGGCACCCTCACAACTGCTAATATTAAGTTACTGAAACATGAACTGAAACTCCAGAAGAAGAACCGAAATATATTTTGAGAAAGAAAAGGAAAGTGGAAAAGTGTGAGAAATGGCAAATTTGTAGAAGGTTTCCAGGCTTTTAAATGATTTTGTTAGTTAAGCAGTCGTCTATTCATATTCTGATTTCTTTAATGATTTGAAAAACAGTATTCAAGAACCATCTTTCATCTTATAACTTCTGATATAGGCCTTAACAAACAAATAACTCTGATTTATAGAAGGGATACCCAATCATTTTCAGATACACTGAAAATAATCTAGATTTCAGCAACTTATTTTACATAAAGTTGACAGGTTCTTCTTTTAAATCATTTAGAATGTGGCACACCTACAAACATCCCACCTGGTATGTACTGCCATGTCTCTGGGATGGATGTACTTTGGGTTGGAAAATACTGAAACCAGATACAGGGGTGTTCGTACATTCCTCTGTGTTAATTTCCCAAGGCTGGACTATTAGGTTTTCAGAGTTTCATAGCTACTTTTCTAATTAAGTCTCAACATTGCATTTAATTTCAAATATAAAGAGAAGCAAGACCTCTATGGCATAGCATTTTAACTTCCTGCAAGACAGGGAGACAAGGCAAATCTACTGCAGACTAAGCAAGATGATTTCCCATTTACTGTAACTGAATCAGAACCATGGAAGCTGAGCTTTGAGAGTTTCACATTCTTCCCAGCAGAACTTCTACATCACATTTTCACTTTATTCTAGATTAATCCAGTGAACTCCGCCCCATCCCCCGTCCCCCAGCCCCCTGCCTCCATTGGGACGACTTGCATTCAGTGGATTTATTTTCCAGCATTAGAAATGGCCTGCTCGGAGCCAACCAGGGGTTGTGGCTGAGAGCTGCTCACCAGGGATGTGTGGTCTAGGATCATAAAATAATGGTTGTTTTCTTTCTAGCACATTTAACTACTGCTAGCCATGCCTGCTCAGGCTCATTGTCAGCCCTACATGCTCTAGCAGATCTCTTAAAGGTCTGGCAAGTCTCAGAGCTAGCTCTGGACCAAGTTTTTCTACCCCTGTCTAGTCTCACTCCTCTGTGATATCATCTCGTCCCATGGTTTCAAATAGCATCCATGTGCCACAGTCATAACTCAGCCTTGACCTCTTTTCCAGACTCATTTTGCAAAAGCATTTAAGACTTTTTTCTTTTGAGATTTTGCAGGCATCAAGTGTGTACCATGCCCCCACTGAATCCTTGATCTTCCCATCCTGCAAAATGCTCCTTCTCCATTATTTACCACCTCGATTAATAACATCTCTCCTGGCCATGCCTAAATCAGAGACCTGGGAACCATCCACCAGTTCACCTTCCCCCTTCCTCAGATCATTACCAAGTTCTTTCCATTTTACCTACATCAGTTTCTAAATTCTGAGTCCTTCTATCTCTGCAGACGCCATCTCGTTCAACTCCTTTCCAGTATTTTTTCACATAGCAAGAATGTTTTTAAAATGTACATGAGAAAATGAGGCCCCATCGTATTTCCTGGCTCCTGAAATCATTATTTGCCTAAATTGCTAGCGTCTATCTCTCCCTATGGGCTGTGCGCTCTCTAGGAGTAGACTCCATCTATCTTTCCTGTTCACTGCCATGTCCTGGGCCTGGCAAAGAAGCAGGGGCCAGTTTCTCCCATCTCTTCTATACTTAAATACTCCTCAAGGAAAATATGTTGGCCTGAAAAACAACAGTTTTAAATACATATTTAGGTACTTCTGTTTGCTTATTTTAAAACCTAGAGAAAATAGCATTAATTTAAAATCACTAAATATATGCTTTTGTACTTCAGAAGGTAGCTTCTCTTACCACCAGCAATCAGTGTTTTTTGTTTTTGTTTTTAAAGAGGAAAGATTTATTGTATACAAAGGGAAAAACATCGAAGGACAATAATACTAATATTTTAAGTATAAGCAAGGTATAATGCTTCTGACTTGAGCTACAGTGGATGATTAACCACATGCCCACCTCTACTTTGGGCTCGGTCTATGTTTAAACATGGGACAGAGAGATGGGCTAAGGCATGCCCTGGGAAGCAACTGAGATATACACAGATACCTCTCCAAGGAGACAGTATTGGGAATATTGATTCAATATTTTACCAATCAAGATTAATTCACTCATCTTTGGAAACAGACATGGAAATTGGTGGCAGAATAAAAAACAATGCCATATATTTAAAATATGTAAAGAGTGGCTGGAGAGATGGCTCAGTGGTTAAGAGCACTGGCTGTTCTTGCAGAGGACCCGGGTTCAGTTCCCAGCACCCACATGGGAACAACCATCTGTACTTCCAGTTCTAGGGAATCTGACATTTTCTTCTTATCTCCATGGGCATTGCACAGGACAGATGCACTTATATATACACATAGGCCAAACACTCATACACATAAAATAAAATAGCAAAAAATATGTAAAGAATTGCCACTATGTCAACTGAGGCTGTGACTCAGGGGAGGAATGCTTGTCTGGTGTGTATGAGGTCCTACGTAGTTCAATTCCCAATACTGGAGAAAAGGAAATTATTTTATAGAAAGAGGACTGCATGTTACTTTACATCCATTTACCTCCTTTTCCTTCTTAGGGCTTAAATAGTTCATTTTAGCAATGTTTTCTGTAAAGCAAACTAATATTTAGGGAATCCTGCTTTTAACATCAACAATCATAAAGTTGGAGATAAATATTGATGGTAAAAATATACTGACCCATGTGCACAAGGAAAAAAAAAGGTGCTCAGAAGGAAATAAAGGGGAAAAGCTTTTTGATAAACTCAATTAATGAAGAAAATTAACAAAACTGCCCCACAACCATTCCTACTAAGAATTTGATAATAATACACAGAGAAGAGCTCAGGTCTCTTCCCTTACAACTTTATCAGCAAATACACATTTTTTTTCACCCAACAGATTTGTTATACTTGGAACTTTGAAATGCCGAGTATAGACACACTGCCATTTCAACTTCTTGCCTAGTTAAATTTGATCCACTGGGCCCAGTATTAGGAAGGATGGAAAAGAAAACAATTTGGAGAGCAATCCTGGCTGTGTGCTGGATTAATAAAAGTTCTTTAAACAAATACACAAAACCTTAGCTCTACTATATCTGAATAACTCCAATCTAAATGGACTTAGTAAAAGGGCAGCTCTGGTGATAGGAAAATGACCAGAATCAAACCCAAGCTCTGTCACAAGAAATCAGCCCTACCTACACTGGG